ATAGGTGACATTCTACAGCGTACCTGGAATGGGGGAGCCGGGAATGGTGGAGCAGGTAATGGGGGAACAGGGAATGGGGGAGCGGGGAATTGGGGGACAAGGAATGGGGGAACAGGGAATTGTGGAGCAGGGAATGAGGGGACAGAGAATGGGGTAGCAGGGAATGAGGGGATAGGGAATGGGGGACAAGGGAATGGGGGACAGGGAATGGGGGAGTAGGGAATGGGGAAACAGGGAATGGGGGAGCAGGGAATGGGGGGACAGAGAAGGGGGGAACAGGGAATAGGGGGACAAGGAATCGGGGGACAGGGAATGGGGGAGCGGGGAATGGGGGAACAGGGAATGGAGGAGCAGGGAATGGGGGAGCAGAGAAGGGGGGAACAGGGAATGGCGGGACAGGGAATCTAAGGACAGGGAATGGGGGAGCGGGGAAAGGGGGAACAGGGAATGGGGGAGCGAGGAATGGGGGAACAGGGAATGGGGGAGCGGGGAATGGGGAAATAGGGAATGGGGGAGCGCGTAATGGGGGACAAGGGAATGGGGGAACAGGGAATGGGGGAGCGGGGAATGGGGGAACAGGGAATGGGGGGGCGGGGAATGGGGGAACAGGGAATGGGGGAGCAAGGAATGGGGGAACATGGGATGGGGGAGCGGGGAATGGGGGAGCAGAGAAGGGGGGAACAGGGAATGGGGGGACAGGGAATGGGGGAGCGGGGAATGGGGGAACAGGGAGTGGGGGAGCGAGGATGGGGGAACAGGGAATGGGGGAGCGGGGAATGGGGGAGCAAGGAACGAGGGGACAGGGAATGGAGGAGCAAGGAATGTGCATTCGCGGGAAATGGGGGAACAGGGTATGGGGGAGCGGGGAATGGGGTGACTGGAATGGGGGAACGGGGAATGGGGAACAGGGAATGGGCCGCGCGTACAGCCCATCAGACTTTGACGGGAAGCATTTCGCGCGCCTGCTGCCCGTCAGACATCCGCATAGCCGCTACGTGCGCCTGCTGCCCGTCAGGCACGAATGGGGCGACAGGAATGGGGGAACGGGGAATGGGCCGCGTGTACAGCCCATCAGACTTTGACGGGAAGCATTTCGCGCGCCTGCTGCCAGTCAGACATCCGCATAGCCGCTACGTGCGCCTGCTGTTTGTTAGGTATGGATGTCCCTCATTTCGCGTGAACGCTGGCCGTCAGACAGTGACGGGAGGTGTTTCGCGCACATGCTGCTCGTCTGACAGCCGCTTTGTGCGTGAGAGCTGCTCGTCAAATAGACGCATTCCGCATTTCGCGCGCACGCTGACCGTCTGACGTCGACGGACATCATTTCGCGTACGTGCTACCCGTGAGACACCTCTAAAGCTACTTGGGCGCGAACCTTGAGGCGCCCGTTGCTGGGGGAGCGCAGAATGGGGGAACAGGGAATGGGTGAATGCGTGTGAGGGTGTGCATGAGAGAGCACGTGAGAGAGCGCGTGAGTGTGCGCATGAGAGAGCGCGTGAGAGAGCGTGTGAGAGCGTGTGAGAGAGCGCGTGAGGGAGCGCGTGAGAGAGTGCATGAGAGAGAGTGTGAGAGAGCGCGCGTGAGGTTGCGTATGAGAGAGTGCGTGAGAGAGCGTGAGAGGGAGCACGAGAGAGAGCACGTGAGAGAGCGCGTGAGAGTGCGCGTGAGAGAGCGTGTGAGAGAGCGCGTGAGAGAGCGCGTGAGAGAGCGCGTGAGAGAGCGCGTGAGAGAGAGCGCGTGAGAGAGAACGTGAGAGAGCGCGTGAGGGAGCGCGTGAGAGAGCGCGTGTGAGAGCGCGTGAGAGTGCGCACGAGAGCGCGTGAGAGAGCGCGTGAGAGAGCGCTTGAGTGTGCGCATGAGAGAGCGCGTGAGAGAGCGCGTGAAAGCACATGAGAAGCGCGCGAGGGAGCACGTGAGAGAGTGCATGAGAGAGAGTGTGAGAGAGCGCACGTGAGGTTGCGTATGAGAGAGTGCATGAGAGAGGGTGAGAGTACGCGTGAGAGTGCGTGTGAGAGAGCGCGTGAGAAAGCGCGTGAGAGAGAAAATGCGTGTTAAAGTGCGCGAGAGAGAGCACGTGAGAGTGTGCCTTGTAGTGCGCATGAGAGAGCGTGTGAGAGTGCGCGTGAGAGTGCGCATGAGAGAGTGCGTGAGAGAGTGCTTGAGAGAGGGCATGAGAGAGTGCACGAGAGAGTGCGTGTGAGAGCGTGTGAGAGAGCGCGTGAGGGTGCGTATGAGAGAGCGCGTATGAGAGAGCGCGTCGCGTGAGAGAGCGCATGAGAGAGCGTGAGTGTGCGCGTGTGAGTGCGCGTGAAAGATTGCGTGAGAGAGCTCGTGAGAGAGAGAGTGCACGTGAGAGTTCTCGGGGGAGTGCGTTTAAGAGTTTGCGTGAGAGTGCGCATGAGAGAGCACGTGAGAGTGCGCGCGAGAGTGCACGTGAGAGAGCGAGCGAGAGAGCGCGTGAGAGAGTGCGCGAGAGAGAGCGTGAGAGAGCGCGTGAGAGAGCGCGTGAGAGTGCGCATGGGAGTGCGCGTGAGAGTGCGTGTGAGAGTGCGCGTGAGAGTACGCATGAGAGTGCGCGCGAGAGAGTGCGTGAGAGAGCGCGTGAGAGAGAGCACGTGAGAGAGCGCGTGAGGGAGCACGTGAGAGTGCGCATGAGAGCGCGTGAGAGAGCGTGTGAGAGAGTGCATGAGAGAGCGCTTGAGTGTGCGCATGAGAGAGCGCATGAGAGAGCACATGAGAGCACATGAGAGAGCGCGTGAGGGAGCGCGTGAGAGGGTGCATGAGAGAGAGTGTGAGAGAGCGCGCATGAGGTTGCGTAAGAGAGTGCGTGAGAGAGCGTGAGAGTATGCGTGAGAGTGCGCGTGAGAAAGCGCGTGAGAGAGCGCGTGACAGAGAGAATGCGCGTTAAAGTGCTCGAGAGAGAGAGAGAGAGAGAGAGAGAGAGAGAGAGAGAGAGAGAGAGAGAGAGAGAGAGAGAGAGCGTGAGAGTGTGCCTGGGAGTGCGCATGAGAGAGCGCGCAAGAGTGTGCGTGAGAGTGCGCGTGAGAGAGTGTGAGAGAGAGTGCGTGAGAGAGGGCGTGAGAGAGTGCACGAGAGAGTGCGTGTGAGAGCGTGTGAGAGAGCGCGTGAGGGTGCGTATGAGAGAGCGCGTATGAGAGAGCGCGTGACAGAGCGCATGAGAGAGCGTGAGTGTGCGAGTGAGAGTGCACGCGAGAGAGCGCATGAGAGAGCTCGTGAGAGAGAGAGTGCACGTGAGAGTTCTCGGGAGAGTGCGTTTAAGAGTTTGCGTGAGGGAGCGCGTGAGAGTGCGCGCGAGAGTGCGCGTGAGAGAGCGCGCGAGAGAGTGCGTAAGAGAGCGCGGGAGAGAGCGCGTGCGAGAGCGCGTGAGAGAGCGCGTGAGAGTGCGCATGGGAGTGCGCGTGAGAGTGTGTGTGAGAGTGCGCGCGCATGAGAGTGCGCGCGAGAAAGCGCGTGAGAGAGCGCGTGAGAGAGAGCACGTGAGAGAGCGCGGGAGAGGGCGCGTGAGAGAGAGAATGTGAGTGAGAGTGCGTGAGAGAGAGTGCGAGAGGGAGCGCGTGAGAGAGCGCGTGAGAGTGCGCGTGAGAGAGCGTGTGAGAGTGCCCGTGAGAGTGCGTGTGAGAGAGCGCATGAGAGAGCGCGTGAGAGAGTGTGTAAGAGCGCGTGCGAGCGCGCGTGAGAGAGCATGTGAGAGTGCACATGAGAGTGCGCGTGAGAGTGCGCGTGTGAGTGCGCGTGAGAGCGCGCGTGAGAGTGCTCGTGAGACTGCTCGTGAGAGTGCCCGTGAGAGTGCGCGTGAGAGAGCGCGTGAGAGAGCGCATGAGAGAGCGCGTGAGAGAGTGCCTGAGAGTGCGCATGAGAGAGCGCGTGAGAGAGTGCGTGAGAGAGGGCATGAGAGTGCGCAAGAGAGTGTGTGTGAGAGCGTGTGAGAGAGCGCGTGAGGGTGCGTATGAGAGAGCGCGTATGAGAGAGCGCGTGACAGAGCGCATGAGAGAGCGTGAGTGTGCGCGTGAGAGTGCGCGTGAGAGAGCGCGTGAGAGAGCTTGTGAGAGAGAGAGAGAGAGTGTGCGCGTGAGAGTGCTCGGGAGAGTGTGTTTAAGAGTTTGCGTAAGAGTGCGCGTGAGAGTGCGCGCGAGAGTGCGCGTGAGAGAGCGCGCGAGAGAGTGCGTGAGAGAGTGCGCGAGAGAGAGCGTGAGAGAGCGCGTGAGAGAGCGCGTGAGAATGCGCATGGGAGTGCGCGTGAGAGTGCGTGTGATAGTGCGCGTGAGAGTGCGCATGAGAGTGCGCGCGAGAGAGCGCGTGAGAGAGCGCGTGAGAGAGAGCACGTGAGAGAGTGCGTGAGAGGGCGCGTGAGAGAGAGAATGTGCGTGAGAGTGCGTGAGAGAGAGCTTGAGAGAGATCGCTTGAGATAGCGCGTGAGAGTGCGCGTGAGAGAGCGCGTGAGAGTGCCCATGAGAGTGCGCGTGAGAGAGCGCGTGAGAGCGCGTGAGAGAGTGTGTGAGAGCGCGTGAGAGCGCGCGTGAGAGAGCACGTGAGAGTGCGCGTGAGAGTGCGCGTGAGAGTGCGCGTGTGAGTGCACGTGAGGGTGCGCGTGAGAGTGCTCGTGAGAGTGCTCGTGAGAGTGCTCGTGAGAGTGCCCGTGAGAGTGCTCAAGAGTGTGTTCGTGAGAGTACGCGTGGAAGTGTGCGTGAGAGTACGCATGAGAGTGCGCGCGAGTGACTTGAGCGACTCGTGAGGGTGAGCGTGAGAGAGTGCGTGAGAGAGTGCTTGAGAGAGGGCATGAGAGAGTGCACGAGAGAGTGCGTGTGAGAGCGTGTGAGAGAGCGCGTGAGGGTGCGTATGAGAGAGCGCGTATGAGAGAGCGCGTCGCGTGAGAGAGCGCATGAGAGAGCGTGAGTGTGCGCGTGTGAGTGCGCGTGAAAGAGTGTGTAAGAGAGCTCGTGAGAGAGAGAGTGCACGTGAGAGTTCTCGGGGGAGTGCGTTTAAGAGTTTGCGTGAGAGTGCGCATGAGAAAGCACGTGAGAGTGCACGCGAGAGTGCACGTAAAAGAGCGCGCGAGAGAGCGCGTGAGAGAGTGCGCAAGAGAGAGCGTGAGAGAGCGCGTGAGAGAGCGCGTGAGAGTGCGCATGGGAGTGCGCGTGAGAGTGCGTGTGAGAGTGCGCGTGAGAGTACGCATGAGAGTGCACGCGAGAGAGTGCGTGAGAGAGCGCGTGAGAGAGAGCACGTGAGAGAGCGCGTGAGGGAGCACGTGAGAGTGCGCATGAGAGCGCGTGAGAGAGCGTGTGAGAGAGTGCATGAGAGAGCGCTTGAGTGTGCGCATGAGAGAGCGCATGAGAGAGCACATGAGAGCACATGAGAGAGCGCGTGAGGGAGCGCCTGAGAGGGTGCATGAGAGAGAGTGTGAGAGAGCGCGCATGAGGTTGCGTATGAGAGAGTGCGTGAGAGAGCGTGAGAGTATGCGTGAGAGTGCGCGTGACAAAGCGCGTGAGAGAGCGCGTGAGAGAGAGAATGCACGTTAAAGTGCTCGAGAGAGAGAGAGAGAGAGAGAGAGAGAGAGAGAGAGAGAGAGAGAGAGAGAGAGAGAGAGAGCGTGAGAGTGTGCCTGGGAGTGCGCATGAGAGAGCGCGCGAGAGTGCGCGTGAGAGTGCGCGTGAGAGAGTGTGAGAGAGAGTGCGTGAGAGAGGACGTGAGAGAGTGCGCGAGAGAGTGCGTGTGAGAGCGTGTGAGAGAGCGCGTGAGGGTGCGTATGAGAGAGCGCGTATGAGAGAGCACGTATGAGGGAGCGCGTGACAGAGCGCATGAGAGAGCGTGAGTGTGCGCGTGAGAGTGCGCGTGAGAGAGCGCATGAGAGAGCTCGTGAGAGAGAGAGTGCGCGTGAGAGTTCTCGGGAGAGTGCGTTTAAGAGTTTGCGTGAAAGTGCGCGTGAGAGAGCGCGTGAGAGTGCGCGCGAGAGTGCGCGTGAGAGAGAGCGCGAGAGAGTGCGTAAGAGAGCGCGGGAGAGAGCGCGTGAGAGAGCGCGTGAGAGAGCGTGTGAGAGTGCGCATGGGAGTGCGCGTGAGAGTGTGTGTGAGAGTGTGCTCGCATGAGAGTGCGCGCGAGAAAGCGCGTGAGAGAGCGCGTGAGAGAGAGCACGTGAGAGAGTGCGTGAGAGGGCGCGTGAGAGAGAGAATGTGAGTGAGAGTGCGTGAGAGAGAGCGCGAGAGGGAGCGCGTGAGAGAGCGCGTGAGAGTGCGCGTGAGAGAGCGTGTGAGAGTGCCCATGAGAGTGCGCGTGAGAGAGCGCGTGAGAGCGCGTGAGAGAGTGTGTGAGAGCGCGTGAGAGCGCGCGTGAGAGAGCACGTGAGAGTGCGCGTGAGAGTGCGCGTGAGAGTGCGCGTGTGAGTGCACGTGAGGGTGCGCGTGAGAGTGCTCGTGAGAGTGCTCGTGAGAGTGCTCGTGAGAGTGCCCGTGAGAGTGCTCAAGAGTGTGTTCGTGAGAGTACGCGTGGAAGTGTGCGTGATAGTACGCATGAGAGTGCGCGCGAGCGACTTGAGTGAGAGTGCGTGAGAGAGCGCGTGAGAGAGAGCACGTGAGAGAGCGCGTGAGGGAGCACGTGAGAGTGCGCATGAGAGCGCGTGAGAGAGCGTGTGAGAGAGTGCATGAGAGAGCGCTTGAGTGTGCGCATGAGAGAGCGCATGAGAGAGCACATGAGAGCACATGAGAGAGCGCGTGAGGGAGCGCGTGAGAGGGTGCATGAGAGAGAGTGTGAGAGAGCGCGCATGAGGTTGCGTATGAGAGAGTGCGTGAGAGAGCGTGAGAGTATGCGTGAGAGTGCGCGTGACAAAGGGCGTGAGAGAGCGCGTGAGAGAGAGAATGCACGTTAAAGTGCTCGAGAGAGAGAGAGAGAGAGAGAGAGAGAGAGAGAGAGAGAGAGAGAGAGAGCGTGAGAGTGTGCCTGGGAGTGCGCATGAGAGAGCGCGCGAGAGTGCGCGTGAGAGTGCGCGTGAGAGAGTGTGAGAGAGAGTGCGTGAGAGAGGACGTGAGAGAGTGCGCGAGAGAGTGCGTGTGAGAGCGTGTGAGAGAGCGCGTGAGGGTGTGTATGAGAGAGCGCGTATGAGAGAGCGCGTATGAGGGAGCGCGTGACAGAGCGCATGAGAGAGCGTGAGTGTGCGCGTGAGAGTGCGCGTGAGAGAGCCCATGAGAGAGCTCGTGAGAGAGAGAGTGCGCGTGAGAGTTCTCAGGAGAGTGCGTTTAAGAGTTTGCGTGAAAGTGCGCGTGAGAGAGCGCGTGAGAGTGCGCGCGAGAGTGCGCGTGAGAGAGAGCGCGAGAGAGTGCGTAAGAGAGCGCGGGAGAGAGCGCGTGAGAGAGCGCGTGAGAGAGCGTGTGAGAGTGCGCATGGGAGTGCGCGTGAGAGTGTGTGTGAGAGTGTGCGCGCATGAGAGTGCGCGCGAGAAAGCGCGTGAGAGAGCGCGTGAGAGAGAGCACGTGAGAGAGTGCGTGAGAGGGCGCGTGAGAGAGAGAATGTGAGTGAGAGTGCGTGAGAGAGAGCGCGAGAGGGAGCGCGTGAGAGAGCGCGTGAGAGTGCGCGTGAGAGAGCGTGTGAGAGTGCCCGTGAGAGTGCGTGTGAGAGAGCGCATGAGAGAGCGCGTGAGAGAGTGTGTGAGAGCGCGTGAGAGCGCGCGTGAGAGAGCATGTGAGAGTGCGCGTGAGAGTGCGCGTGAGAGTGCGCGTGTGAGTGTGTGTGAGAGTGCGCATGAGAGTGCTCGTGAGACTGCTCGTGAGAGTGCCCGTGAGAGTGCGCGTGAGAGAGCGTGTGAGAGAGCGCGTGAGAGAGCGCGTGAGAGAGTGCCTGAGAGTGCGCATGAGAGAGCGCGTGAGAGAGTGCGTGAGAGAGGGCATGAGAGAGTGCGCGAGAGATTGTGTGTGAGAGCGTGTGACAGAGCGCGTGAGGGTGCGTATGAGAGAGCGCGTATGAGAGAGCGCGTGACAGAGCGCATGAGAGAGCGTGAGTGTGCGCGTGAGAGTGCGCGTGAGAGAGCGCGTGAGAGAGCTCGTGAGAGAGAGAGTGTGTGCGCGTGAGAGTGCTCGGGAGAGTGTGTTTAAGTGTTTGCGTAAGAGTGCGCGTGAGAGTGCGCGCGAGAGTGCGCGTGAGAGAGCGCGCGAGAGAGTGCGTGAGAGAGTGCGCGAGAGAGAGCGTGCGAGAGCGCGTGAGAGAGCGCGTGAGAATGCGCATGGGAGTGCGCGTGAGAGTGCGTGTGATAGTGCGCGTGAGAGTGCGCATGAGAGTGCGCACGAGAGAGAGAGAGCGCGTGAGAGAGAGCACGTGAGAGAGTGCGTGAGAGGGCGCGTGAGAGAGAGAATGTGCGTGAGAGTGCGTGAGAGAGAGCGTGAGAGAGATCGCGTGAGATAGCGCGTGAGAGTGCGCGTGAGAGAGCGCGTGAGAGTGCCCATGAGAGTGCGCGTGAGAGAGCGCGTGAGAGAGCGCGTGAGAGAGCGCGTGAGAGAGTGTGTGAGAGCGCGTGAGAGCGCGCGTGAGAGAGCACGTTAGAGTGCGCGTGAGAGTGCGCGTGAGAGTGCGCGTGTGAGTGCACGTGAGGGTGCGCGTGAGAGTGCTCGTGAGAGTGCTCGTGAGAGTGCTCGTGAGAGTGCCCGTGAGAGTGCTCAAGAGTGTTTTCGTGAGAGTACGCGTGGAAGTGTGCGTGAGAGTACGCATGAGAGTGCGCGCGAGCGACTTGAGAGACTCGTGAGAGTGAGCGTGAGATTGCGCGTGAGTGTGCGCATTGAGGTGCGTCTGAGGTAGCACGTGAGGGAGCGCGTGAGGGAGCGTATGAGGGAGCGAGTAAGGGAGTGCGTGAGGGAGTGCGTGAGAGAGCGCGTGAGAGAGCGCGTGAGAGAGCGCGTGAGAGCGCGTGAGAGAGCGCATGAGCATGCTGGGCCGTAGGCATTAGCATATTTTCTGCTGGTGCTTGGGCAACTGGGGCTACTTACACAAATGAGTGTCGCTTTCTGCACTAGGGTGCCGGCTTTTAAGTTGTGGCGCCTCAGACGCTCATTTAGGCTGCTGGCAACTAGACGGCTAGTGCCTATCACGCTCGTGCAGCGGGTTGTAACGCTTGGGCGCTGGCATGGCACCTAGTGTGCCACGCCTGAAGCGCTAGCGTCATGGCCTTTGGCCCTTTTGCTTTCTTGTATCAGTGTGTGAACATACACTGTTTTTTGTGCAAGGTGTGCTGTTGCTTTCTCTGTTCTTGCTTTCTTGTGCAGGGCGTGTGCGTGTTGACTTCTCGGTTTTATTTTTGTGCAGGGCATGGGGGTGTTCACTTCTCTGTATTTGCTTTGTGCAGGGCTTGTGTGTATTGACTTCTCTGTTTTTGCTTTGTGCAGGGCGTGTGTGTGTGTTGACGTCTCTGTTTTTGCTTTGTGCAGGGCTTGTGAGTGTTGACTTCCCTGTTTTTGCTTTGTGCAGGGCGTGTATGTGTTGACTTCTCCGATTTTGCTTTGTGCAGGGCGTGTGAGCTAAGAAGGGAGATGAAGGAAGTAGGGAGGGAGGGTTGTAGAGAGGGTAGGTGGAATAGGCTAGCAAATATTTATGCATTTCTGAATTTTATTCATGACGGTTGCGTGTTTATTACGGCCTCTGTATCTATCTGTGGTTCTTTGCGCGTGTGTCAGTGTGTTCGTGTGCTTATGCGTGTGTGTACGTGCGTGCGCGTATGAGCCCGTGTGTGCGATATGTGTGTTTGTCTGTTTGCACTTGTCTGTTTCGTGTGTGCATTTGATGTGTGATGTTGAATTGTGTCGGGTCTGCATTTGAGGTGGGGATCGTTGTTGGGGCAGCGTTGCTTGTTCTAGCATACCGGAACCACCAGTGTTGTAGCACCGATGCATTTTAGCATTCACTCGCACATGTTATGTGATGTTTTTGCACGTGTTGTGCAACTGAGGTGTGATGTTTAGGTGTATCGGGTCTGCATTTGAGGTGGGGATTGTTGTTGGGGCAGCGTTGTTTGCCTTAGCATACCGGAACCATCTCTGTTGTAGCACCGATGCATTTTAGCATTAACTTGCAGTTGTTATGTGTTGTTTTTCTCGTCAATTGTGTTTGGTGACGACCCATTGTTCCATTCGCCGTATTCATCGACGATTATGGTATGATAGGTCACATTTGGTTTCACCTTTTTTTTGTTTGGTTCCTTTCGAGACTCATGTGTTCAGTGTTGTCATCTCCACACATTTGAAACACTCGTTATCAAAATGTTGAAACGAGTGGGTCGGACGTTGTGAAAATGACAAAAGCTGTACTGTTCATTTGAGTCGACCGAAAAGTTCTACCAAATGTATAGGGTTGCTACGCAACCCAAAAAAACGAGTGAAATACCTACACGCAGTGTATACATTATGAGGATACATCAAGACGAACCTGTTTGGCTATTGCTAATAACGAGTTCGTTGTCCACGCTTGACGCACGCATGAAAATTCATCCGCTTGGGTGTAACTTTCCTGCTAACCGTAACCCTTTCTGCCGTTCGAGCGACGGGTGTCCCAGTCGTCGAGAGCCCGTCCGCGAATGAACTATCATGCGACGTACCACGAGGCGGGATACTCTCAGGGCGAACAGCGTGCAAACGGTCGGCTCGCAGAAACTTGATTCACCCAATGTAGCCTTCCTCTCCCAAGCCTCATTACCTCCTACTGTCCCCTGCTTCTACCCAAACCCTCTTCTTTTCTAGCTCCACTCCTCGACGAAATTGCGTTGGCTTGGGGGGCACCGTTGCCTTTCAACTCGATACCCTCCGCAGCGAGAATGGTTGAACCAGAGGCACAGGCGGTGGCGGATGGTCTTTCTGGGGAGGAAGAGGAGCTAATAGCCCGAGGCGAGGAGTACGATGTCGACCACGGGAGCGACGATGGCGACGCTAACGACGAGAGCGACGAGGACGACGAAGGCGACGAGGACGAGGATCTCGACGACGACGATGACGGCGAGGCGGCGGCGTTGTTCGGCGCGCAGCAGAAACCCCACGCGATAAACGACGCGCCGGCGCTGCGCAGAAAGCTGGACGAGTTCGCGTGGGCGGGCAAGCGGCCGTGGGTGGAGTCGCTGGCCGTCGTCGTGATGGACGACGCCGCCACTGACGCCGCAGCTGGCGCCGCCCCCGGCGGCGTGGAGGCCGTAGACGCGGCGGACGATTTGGTTCGCGAAGCCGCGTTTTACTCCCAGGCCGCAGCTGGCGCTAAGGCGGCGCTTGTGCGGCTCCAGGAGGAAGCAGCCGCCGCCGCCGCCGCAGGCGCAGCTGCTTCCGCAGGAGGGGTGGAAGGGGAAGAGACTCGGAGGTTTCCCCCGTCCGCGGTGGCGCTGCTGCGGCCGGCGGATTACTACGCGGAGATGGTGAAGAGCGACGCGCACATGGAGCGCATCCGCGCGCGACTGCTGGCGCAGCAGAAGGAGATGGAGGGCGCGGAGGAGCGGAAGAAGGCGCGCGAGGGGAAGAAGTACGCGAAGCTGGTGCAGGCGGAGCGGCGCAAGGAGCGCGAGAAGGAGAAGAAGGACTCGGTGCAGGCCGTGGAGCGATGGCGCAAGCTGCGCCAGCAGAGCAACTTCCAGGACGCCGCAACCGCGCCTGGCGGAGCGGACTTCCCCGTGGAGCTGGATGCGGCGCTGGGCGCGGGGGGGGAGTTTGCACGCGGGGAGAAGCGCGGGGGGCGGGCCGGGGGAAAGGGGTCGTTGGAGAAGCGGAAGCAGCGGGATGCCAAGTATGGGTTCGGCGGGCGGAAGCGGCTGAAGAAGCAGAACGACGCGGACTCGACCAACGACTTCGGGGACTTCGGGGGTTTTGGGGACGAGGACGGCGGGCGGGGGGGAAGGGGGGGTTTCGCGGGTAGAGGGTTTCGGGGAGGGGGTAGAGGGGGGAGCAGAGGGGGGAGCAGAGGTGGAAAGGCGCAGCGACCGGGGAAGGGGAGAAGAGAGCAGATGCGGAACAAAGGAAAGTAGAGTGAAGGAGGGCGGGGAGAGGAAAGGGAGACCAGTTAAGTTGGGGAGAAGGTGAGGGGAGGGGGAGAGAAGAGGAGTCGGTGCCGCTCACCGCTCACCGCTGGTGACTCGGCAAATGAGAGCAGTTGTGTTACTTTCCTGCATTGTGGCGCAGTGTGAGAGCTGATGAGGAACAAGGGTAAGCTGCGTGGAGCGGTGGGAGAGAGGAAAGGAAGAGAAGGGAAGTTGGAAGGGTGGGTGGGGGAGGAGAGGAGGGTGGGGAACAGGATGCGGCTGACTGGCATGGCATGGGAATAGCAGCAGCGTTTTTCTGGGAGCAGCGCTCCTGTTCGCCAGTCAGTGCCATCGTATGCTTATGGGAGGTGCTGTGTGAAGGAGGAGGGTGGGCAGGGGGAAGCAGGCAGTCATGGCATCCATGTGCTGCCCCCAGCCCTCCCAGCCCTCCCAGCCCTCCCAGCCCTCTCAGCCCTCCCAGCCCTCCCAGCCCTCACCCTCCCTGCCCTCCCTGCCCTTGCTGCCCTCGCTGGTCCGAAAAGTTCAGTAGGCAGTGTTCAGGTAAGTGGTGAGCTCTGCGCAGCATCACCCAATTTCAGCCTCCTGCTGGTGGTGACCCCCTCTGTGAAAGCTGGAGCATTACTTTCCGGGAGTGCTTGTGGTGCAGTGCGTTGCAGGGCGGTCCCTGGTGCGTATGATATTGTAGGATGTCTTGTGATTTTTCTTCGATAACCAAGCAGTGCATTGCAGTTACAAACAGGGCAGACAGAGAGGCTAATTGTAGCCTTGGATTGGAATAGCACAGGCCATTGGATTTATTTTGCGGTTGGTGTTCAGCCTTCCCCACAGGGCTTTTACTTATTACGGTATGAGTTGTAAAACAGGGTTGTGTGGAATAACGAATAACGAGGCTGTGACTCAATGAACTGACAATACAATGAAGGCACGCGCTTAAAGTGACTACCCTTGCTAGGAGGGAACGTCGGGGATGCGAGGTTGAGTGCAGGTTTGGCGATTGGAAATCCGAAGGCTCCCTCAGAGCCAATCAACCTTTCAAACTGTGCACAATGCAAGCCATGAATATCAGGTTTAAGAACAAGGCCAAATCATCAGCCACATGTTTTTTCTGTTACTGTTGAGATTAACCGTCCAATTTTCTCCCAGGCATAAAGGAACGTCAAGTGAGTGCGGGAGCAGTAAAGTCTCTAGGTACGCAGAAGCAGTGAGTCATCCCCAATGAACCTGCGTATTCCAAGACAAGAGGTTGTTGGGCTGAGAAAGCCCTTAGGATCTTTGCAGGGCTGAACTCTGAGTAGGACTTGTTGTAATTAGCGGAAGCTTAATGAGATGTGTTTGAACCACCTTGCGCTAGTATGTGAGGGCAAAGTTGATTGATTAAAGCAAAGAGATACAAGATTATATAAGAGTACAAGGAATACGAAGAGATACGGTTGCAACTACTTTACTGTTGCTGTTGCGGTTCAATACAGTGACGACTCGGGCAACTGCTCTGTAACGAGTCAGTTGTGTGTCCTTACTGTCGTGCTGTACTTGTCAGGTCAAAGGACGCTGACCTTTGACTTTCGCGTAACCTCTAGCAACTGCTCAACCTCCGAGGGTTGACTCGCCGGTGCTTCGATATACTTCGCTTCGCTTCTGACTTGGTGTTTCGACACGACAGAGGCGCTTATAATTAATTGTTTCCAACACTCCCCTTTGTCAAACACTATATGTGTTATTGTTGTGTAGGCTATAGTGGGTTAGCCTTTAGGGGGTACACGAAGCTAGGGTTTACTACTTGTACTCCAACTTTTCATAGTTCAATCACTTCTCATTCTTGACATGGTACCGTAATACCCCGGATATAAGCGCACCTGCGCTTATAATAAAACAGTGTTTTTTGGGGGGGTGCGCTTATAATTGAGTCAGATTTATAAGCGCA